GAAAGTGAGCAATCACTCTCAAGGAGGATGGCTATGCCAAAATCCTTTCTCCTCCGTTCTCCTCTCAGGATCTTGGACTTGCACACACATGTGCCTGGTGCGATTTTCAAGCTGCCAGGTCCAGGACTCAAACCACACAATTAGCCAGGTAGGATCCATCTGCTTGAACCGCTATGCTGCCTAGCTGCCTCCCATCATATTTTAATAGGGACCAGCCCAAACAAGCAGTTTTCCTACTTGTCAACCTGTCTCCCAAAGGACACAAATGTCAGATGCTTGAGCAACTATATTTCAAAAAACAAGAATTAACCTCTTTAGGAAGTCAAAGTCCATAATGAAGTGACCAATGGTGCCTGTTACAGGGTGGAAACTCAAGGAGAAAGCCAGTAGTTAGATGCATGGATTGGGTTCCTCATCAGACACCCAAGACAGATCATGACCCTCCTCTCCGAACTCTCCCACCTGGCCCTCCACATTCAGAGAAAAGGACTTTGGCCTTTGCTACTTCTCTGATTCTATTGCCTATCGTTGTTGCTGGTCCGCCGTTCCACCTACACTGCCCTCCTTGGGTTCTTAGACCACCGGGGACGCTGCTGCCAGAGGGCTCTTGCACACTCTGACTGCCATGAAAGACTCTTCCCCAGGTGTCTATATGGCTCACCCTCTCTCCTCCTCTCATCTCTGCTCGACTGGCACCTGATCAATACATCAGTGAGGTCTTCACTCATCATCCCACATGAATGATGAGCAGCCCCTGTGGTGGTCAGGAAGGCAGCTAGATCCCACATGACTGACTATGCAGCTTGAGTCCTGGACCTGGCAGCTTGAGATGTGCATGTCCAGAATCCTGACTACAGGAAGACATGGAGCTGAGGGACTACGGCATGACCGTCCCCCATGGGGTACTCTCTCACTACTCCCTCTCTGTGGCTCTCTGGCAAGTGCATGCATCCTATGGCAAAATTAAAAACAAACAAACAAACAAACAAAAAACAAAACTCAGTCCCATTCCTTCATTCCATATCCCCTTTAGCTTAATATATTACTTGGCACCTTTGACACATTATGCATTTGCTGGTTTATTTGTTTATTGTCTGTCTTATCCGTCTAAATGTAAGCTCTGTGGAGGGAGGGACTATGTTTTCTTCACTGCCTTGGAAATGCCTGGGATGGGCCAGCTGTGTCGCATAGCATTAATGCACTGCTCCGGAGAAGCTGGATCCCATAGGACGACCGTGATACGAATCCCTGGCTCAGTCTGCCTGCATCACGCTGGGCACGCACACAGTCACACAAGGACTAGAGGAAGGGATTGCGGCATGACCAGGAGCTGTGGAGGGTGCTCCTCTCTGCCTCCCTCTTTCTCTCTGACATGCTCAGGCACACCTTTCTGTCATGAGTAAGTAGAAAACGAATGGCAGGCAGATGGCAGAGCCCGGCAGATACTTACTGAAGGAAACGTGTGAATGAGTGGTGTGGTGCTAACTTACCCATGAAGCACTATAAGCACAGTGTTTAGGGTTCACAGAACTTAAAGGTACCCCCAAATATTTACATTTAAATATTGAAATTTCTCTTAAAATCAAAAGAGAAGATATAGGCTTTTAGGATCGAAAGTATCTTTGTTATTATACCAACAGAGTCATAAATACAAATATTTGTATGGAAGAAGGGGCCCGTGAAGGCAAAGTGTCTGGGGTCCTTGGGCAGTGCTCTGAGGAAGTGACAATTCAAATCAGATACGATGATACGATGAGTAAACATCGTCACTAGTGTGTAGAATGTTTGAGACCTCCCTGCAGTCCAAGATCTTTAGAAAAACCTATGGATTTAGGAAAAAGAAATACTATGTCTTGATAAGCCGCCAGGCTGTAAAAGCTGATTCTTCCATATCAGCTGGGCATCCTGATGCCCTCAGCTGGCCGTTCCCCACCTGCTTCATGGCCCCTTTTGCATTTTCTTTGGATTTCAAGGGCTCCTCCTGTCCTTTCCTCAGCTCTCTTCAGCTCTCTGCTGGCCCGGAGCCTACAGCTTTCCTGCCTGTACTTAGGCCACCAGTCCCTCCCTCTCCCCTGGGTCTCAACTTTATTCTGGAGTGGACGTGAACACAGGCCCAGAAGGATTTGGGCCGCCCGTGCAGCTGCTGTTCGTCTTAGGATAAAAATGGTTTTGTTCAGGGACCAGCAGATGGGGTAATGGTTACGTCGCTGAACTCTGACACAGCCAACCATGATTTGAGTCCCAGGCCCTGTGGCTTAAAACTCACACCAGGTGCATGTGGTGTGTGCCCAAGATCCAGAGAAGAGAATGGAGGAGAAGGGATTGCAGCACCCCCAAGAGATTGATTTCTCACGTTCTATCTCTCTGGCAAGTACATGCATCCTATAGCAAAATCTCTTTTAAAAAAATGTAGCCGACCGCAGTTCGAGTCCTAGACCCGATGGCTTAAACTCACGCTAGGCGCATGTGCGTGTGTGCCCAGGATCCTGAGAGGAGAATGGAGAAGGGATTGCGGCGAGGCCTTCCCCCGGGTGGGTGATTTCTCGCTTTCTGTCTCTGTCTCCCTCTGTGTTTCTGGCGAGCGCACATGCCCTATAGCAAAATCCTCTCCAAAAAAAAAGGGGGGTTGTCCACATTTCTCATTGGATTGTCTGCTTAGGAAGCAGAGAGAGGATCCTGTACTTTTTTAACTGACTCATTTTAAGTGCTGTTGAATCTCAGATACATAGTGTCAGTCACTTAAAACGTTTTGATTCGGGGCCAGCAGATGGCATGGTCGTTAAGGCACTGGACTCCCACATATTCAACTATTATTCAAGTCCTGAACCTGGCAGCTTGAAAATCACACCAGATGTGTGTTCATGATGTCCAAAATCCCAGGAGGAGAATAAAGAGGGGATCGTGGCTTCCCCAACCCCCACTGTTGCCGGGGGCAAGGTGATTTCTTGCTTTCCCTCTCACCGTCTGTTTCCCATGACCACAAAAACATGCATATATATATAAAAATTAAGTGTGGGTGGAGCCAGCAGGTGGCATGGTGATTAAGCGTGCTGGACTCCCATATGGCCAATTGCAGTTTGAGTTCTGGACCTAGCAGCTTGCTTTCTCTTTCTCACTCTATCCCTCTCTGGTCAAGTTAAAATACATAAATAAAGTTAAACAGAATAATTCTTTTTTAAAAGAAAGTACAGGTTGCCTATTCAGGGGCGGATTCTGTTCCATTTTTCAAACATATTATCTCTAAGTTGCCCAGCAACTGTGCATGCAGGGAGGCCCGTCCTTGCCTAGGGAGCTCCTCAGTTCTTCCCTGTCCCACTTCCGTGCACAGAGGAAGCAGGTTTGGGAGCTGTCAGGCAGGACTCCTTGCACTGACTTCTGCCTTAGACAGCACCTAGTATGTCCACTGTTGGAGCTGTAGAGGTAGCTCCTGCCCTGGAAGGGCCCTTCTGCTCCTGGCGATAGTCAGCCAGCTCTGGCAGAGCCGCCTTTAAGCCCTTAAGGGGTCGAGTCCGCCGAGGTGGACGTATCAGTGCAAAGACCTCATCTCTTCTGGAACCACCTCAGAGAGAACTAAGGACTAATGACATCCCAGCCTGCCTTAAGGACAGTCATTCCATAGTGCTGTGCAGGTGACTGTCATTTCATAGCCTGAGAGTCACCTGTCTGGCAGGCCAGACACAGTTCCTGCCTACTTAGCTTCAGCCCCCGGAGTGGCCTCCAGCATGCCTTGTCTTGACCAGCCTGGCTTGTGACATCAAGTACATTAGTTAGGGTGTGACACAGTGTCTTGCTGGGTAAACACACTGGTGACTCAAGAGTTGTCAAGCTCAGAACCCCCGTAGATGCTGTGGTTTAGAACCTGACATAAAAGCTGCATTTCCTGTGCTGCAGCTCCCAGGAAGTTGTCAGGAGGAGAAACAACCACACGTTGAGGTCTTTTGCACCTGTTGGCAAAGGATCGTAAAATACAAGCATGCTGAAATAGGGAAAGTGTATTCCTCAGAATGCCTTTAGGGACAGTGCTATATTGGGAAGAAATATTTCAGTGTGCCTCCTGAGTGGACACTGAAACTCCCAGGACGCACTGAGCAATGGCTCCCAAACTTCCATGCAGTAAGCAGAGAGGGGAACTCTTCTTAGAGGCAGAGGAGAGAAAAGGTGGGAAGGAGCAGTATGGTGTATGGTTGTGCAGAGAGAGCCAGGGCCCCTCCCGGGGATCAGCCTCCACCCCAGGCTTCTATGAAGTCCCCCAAACGCAAATGTTACTGTAAGCAATTTGCTGTCGAATTCAGAAGAGGCACTGAAGTTCAAGTGGTGTTAGATGCAGCGAAGGATCTTTGGGGCGAGGAAGCCAGGAGGCCAGGAGACAACGAGCCTCTTGGATTTAGCATAAGTCTTTGGGGAAGGGGGCTTTGAACTTCTCAAAGCTGTGGAATTGGAGGTTGAAGGTCATTGGCATGGGCAAATGCCTCCCTGCTCACCTACCTTGAATGCCCAGGGTTCATCACGAATCTGCTGTTGAAGCAGAAACAAAGTGTGCGGAGCCAGGGAAGCCAACTGGCCAGGACTCCCGGTTGATAACTGAGGAAGAGCCAAGCTAGAAAGTACAGGCTGATCACCCTAGCAGATAACAGTGAACATGGCCGAGGGTGACCCTGTGATGAAGAACGCTGAGGGAAGTGGGGCAGCCCTGTGTCCTAGGCCGGGAGACCAGGCGGCCACTGGCAGTGAAGGCGGAGGAGATAGCAGGGAACAGGAAGGCTGGTGGCCTGACCTGGGCTCCTCCTGGAGGAGCAGGCTCCTTCATGCAGGAAAGGACTTGGAGCTGGGCCAGCCCACCCTCCTGTGACCACGGCTGCACAAGAGGCCTCTCTGTGGAAGCAGGCAAAGCCTCTAACATGCAGCTCAGTGGTCTTTGAGAATTCTGAATACCACTCACCAACAGGCTTGGGGCTTCATCTTTTCACACTGAGCTAACCCAGCATTCGTTTCCCTTCCAGGTGGCAAGACTGGGCAGGCCCCAGGCTCCCGAGCACCTTCCCCGAGGCTTCCCACCAAAACCATCAGCGGTCCACTTATCCCTCCTGCGTCTCCTAGGCTGGGCAACGCCTCCGAAGCACATGGAGCTGCCAGGACAATCCCTCCTCGCCCCAATGTGCCCGCCCC